AGACAGTTTGGCTAATGGAAAACAAGCAGGAGGTATGAGCTTTTCTCAGTTATGTTTTACATCACAGTTTAATTATATGGCAAATTGTCGAGAACAGGTTTTTGTTTTTGGAAATAGGGTCTCACTCTGTAGCCCAAGCTGGGTTGCATTGGTGTGATCACAGCTCACTACAGTCTCAACCTCCTGGGCTCAAGTCTCCAAGTAGCTGAGACTACAGGCGCACACCACCATGCCTGGCTACTTTTTTGTATTTTTGTAAAGAATACAAAATACAATTTTATGTCGCCCAGGCTGGTTTCGAACTCCTGGGCTTAAGCAATCCTCTTGCCTTGGCCTCCCATAATGCTGGGAATACAGGCATGGGCCACCACGCCTGGCCAGAATAGGTGATTTTTAAAGGATCCAGTTATTTAGATGCGTTATAACAGATGTACATGATATAAAATAGAGTAAAATCTTTTTCTCAGGAGTCGGTGCTCTACAGTGGCTGCCTGAGTGAGAATTCCTCAAGAGTAATTTAGGGCCTTTCCTTAGGGAAAGGAAAGGGGAAAAATTAATTTGATGCCGTCTTAGAAATTCTATTACCCAACAGTATCATAAGTTAATCTTCTTAAATTCCTATTATACCTAGTATTTCCGGTCCCCTTTGACTGTTTTTGACTTCCAGATTCCCATTTTGGGCCTGGCCATCTGACTGCACCCCTGTGATTTCACCAATGCTTTCCTGCCCTGCATTCCTCTACCTACCCTGCAAAGTTGTATAAATGTCCATTTATACAGCTGATTTTCCTCGGTTTCCTTTGATTTATTCTCAGATGACAAATTCCTCAGGGGCAAAAACTAGGCCTTCAAGTTTCTTACGAATGACTTACAGTAAGGATGTAAGTACTGGTTATTGGTAAAAATCTTTTGATAGTCTCAAACTCTTTCAAAACGTTGAAGAGGGTGGAACATTTCCTAACTCATTCTATGACACCAGCATTACCCAGACACCAAAGCCGGGCGAAGACACTACAAGAAATAAAAATTACAGACCAAAGTCTCTGATCAATATTGATGGGAAAATTGTCAACAAAATACTAGCAAGCTGAATTCAGGAGCATACCAAAAGTATTATGCACAATAACCAAATGGATTTATCCCTGGAATACAAGGATGGTTTCACATATGAGAAACAGCATAATATAAGAAAACACGTGATCATTTCAATTGATACAGAAAATCTGACAAAATTCAATACCCTTGATTTAAAAAAAGCCACACCCAAATTGAAATAGAAACATGATAAAGGCCATGTATTAAACACCCACAGATAGTACTGTACTATAGTAAAAGACTAAAAGCTTCTCCTCTAAAAGTACAAGACAAGAATGCCTACTTCCACCACTTCTATTCAATGTAATATTGAAAGTTCTAGCTAGAGCAATTAGGCAAAACAGTAAAAGTCATCCAAATTTGAAAACAGGCCAGGCGCGATGGCTCACGTCTGCAATCCCAGCACTTTGGGAGGCTAAGGCAGGTGGATCACCTGAGGTCAGGAGTTTGAGACCTGCCTGGCCAACATGGTGAAACCCCATCTCTACTAAAAATTGCTTGAACCTGGGAGGTGAAGGTTGCAGCGAGCTGAGATCATGCCACTGCACTCCAGCCTGGGCAACAGAGTGAGACTCCACCTCAAAAAAAAAAAAAAAAAAAAAAAAAAAAAAAAAAAATAAAAATTTTTGAAAACAAAGAAGAATTATCTGTTAGCAAATGGCATGATCTTATACGTAGAAAACCTTAAAGATTCCACACCAAAAAAAAAAACTAATAAAGCTAATTATTCAGCAAAGTTGCAGGACACAAAACCAACAAGCAAGTATCAGTTGCATTTCTATATACAATGAACTATCCTAAGAGGAAATTAAGAAAATAATCCCATTTATAATAGATCAATAATAAAATACTCAACAGACCTGTACAATAAAAACAACAAAACATTGTTCAAAGAACTTAAAGACCTAAATAAATGGAAAGACACCAGTGTTCACAGATTAGACTTAAAATTGTTAAGTCAATTTAATCTTCCTATCAAGTACCTGGGATTATAGGCATAGAATTTAATCTATTGTCAAACACTACCCAAAGCAATCTAAAGATTAAATGTAATCTTTGAAAATCCCATTGACAATTTTTGCATAAACAGAAAAACCTAAGATTCGCATGAAACTTCGAGGGGCCTTAAGTAGCGAAAATGATCTTGAAAAAGAACAAAGTTGGAAGACTCATACTTCCTTACTTCAGAACTTACTACAAAGCTACATTAATCAAAATAGTGTGGTACTGGCTAAGGTCAGATAAACAGACAAATGGGACAAAAGAGAGTCCTGAAATAAACCCTAGCATACATGGCCAACTGATTTTGGCACCTCATTCACTGGGAAAAGGAGTCTTTTCAGTAAGTGGTGCTGGGAACAGCGGGTACCAACATGCAAAAGAATGAAATTGACCTTTACATCACATACTAAAATACTAAAATTAACTCAAAATGGATCAAAGACCTAAATGTAAGAGCTAAAATAATACTCTTAGAAGAAAACACAGGGAAAAAGTTTCATGACATTGGATTTGGTGATGCTTTCTTAGACATACCAAAAGCAAAGACAACAACAAAAAAAATTAGGCCAGGTGAGGAGGCTCACACCTGTAATCCCAGCACTTTGGGAGGCTGAAGTGGGACGACTGCTTGAGCCCAGGAGGTGAGAGCAGCCTGCGTAACATAGTGAGACCTCCACCACTACAAAATATTTAAAAATTAGCTAGGTGTGTGGCACATGCCTATAATCCCAGGTACTTGAGAGGCTGAGGCAGGAGGTGCACCTGAGCCTAGAAATTTGAGATTGTAGTGAGCCACTGTGATTGTGCTACTGCACTCCAGCCTGGGTGGGAATGGGACCCTGGGGAGGAAGGGAGGGAGGAAGGCAGGAAGGGAGGAAGGAAGGAGGGGAGGAAGGGAGGAAGTGGGGAGGGGAGAGAGGAAGGGAGGAAAGGAGGCAGAGGAAGGAAGGGAGGGCGGGAGAGAGGCAGGCAGGGAAGGGAGGGGAGGGGAGGGAAGAAGGGAGTAAAGGAGAAAAGGAGGGAGAAAGAGGAAGGGAGGGGGAGGGAGGGAGGGACGGAGGGAAGGAAGGGAAGGAGAAAGAAAAAGAAAAGAGAGAGACCGACTGCATCAAAATTTAAAACTTAAAACTTCTGTGTATCAAAGGATACTATCTATATCCAATGCTTATTATTTTCTGAATTTTTTTATAATAGCAAGAATGTAAAAAAACTGGAACACTGGTACATTGCTGGTGGAAATGCAAAACGGTACAGCTGCTGTGGAAAACAGTATGGCTATTACTCAAAAAGTTCAACATAGAATTCCACATGCTTCAGCAATTCCTAGATCTATACCCAGAAAACCCAAATTCTGGGGCTGAAACAGATACTCGCACACCAATGTTCACAGCAGTGTTAGTAAGAACTGCCAAAAGGTGTAAATAACCCAAATGTTCATTAATGGATGAAGGTATAAACAAAATGTGGGATATACATAAAGAGGGCAAACAGTGATTCTTCCACCTCTATGAGGCACCTAGAGCAAGTTCATCAAGATAAAAAGCAGAATGCAGGTTCACAGAGGCCGCGGGAAGGGAAGAAGTATGGGGAATGACTATTTAATGGGTACAGAGTTCCTGTTTGGGACAATGAAAAGAATTCTGGAAATGGATGGCAGTGGTATTTGCACATCGCGAATGTACTGTCACTTAATTGGACGCTTAAAAATGACTAAAATAGTAATTTTTAGGTTATTTTACCACAACAACAACAACAAATCTCTTGGTAAGGATAGCCATGGTTAAGGGCGTGGACACTGGAGTTACATCTACTTGAAACCTGGACCTGCTACTTTCCAGCTGAGTGGCTCTAAAAAGGTACTTAACCTCTAAAGAACCGTAGATTCTTCTTTTGTAAAATGAGGATGTCACTGTCTCATAGATGTGGTTAAGATTAACATTAAAAGAAGTAAAATACCGAGCACAGGGGCCATCACATGGCAGGCTATCACCAAAAAGCAATGGGTTGTTATTTCAGTAGCTCTGCAGACAGAACAGAGACACGGTTATTACAGAAAACACATGAATGAAGAGAGATGGGGAAAACCTTGACATGTTAACAGGCACAGGTACTGGTAACGGGGAATCATGAAAAAAAGTTTGTGGCAAGGGACTCTCAGCTTTTCAACAGTTCATGAAAAACTTTCAGGTATAGAGGATTTCATTTACTAAAAGTTCCATAAGAAGTGTGTGATACAGATGCTTAGAAAAAGAGAATGCGATCGCAGGTCCAACTGACAGTATAGTTCACTTGTCACTGTGCTTGTTCTAGGCACACTCTTTCAGAGACATGAATGAAAAACAGTGCTTCCAGAACAGGGCTCCCAGGAAGGATGAAGTCTCAGAAAGCTACCTGATACAAAGATCAGCCTTGAGATCAGAGGCACACTGGGAGAATGAAGGATGGACTGAAAATAATGGCAACGTAAGTAACAATTCAAGTTACTCAGTAACGGAACCGGCTTCCAGCACTCAAGTGCAGGCTGACTGACCACTTGTGAAACAGATTTTACAGGAGCAATTACTACACAGGAAAAGAGGAGGAGCAGGAGAAACAGTGACCTTTAAGGTATTTTACCTGTTTTACCCTCTAAGATTCTATGACTCTCAATTTTCAAATTTAAACTTTGAACTTTTCAAAGACATGCTATCACAGAAACATGACACAAGCTACTATGTGCTAAATAAATGCAGGCACATGTAGAATGTTGTTTTACACACATGCAATTCTGTCCTAGGGAAAATCTCTTTGGATACAGAAGTAGGAGCTTGGGCAAAAGTAGTAGCACAATTTCCGAAGTGTCCACTTCTAATCTGTAAATACATTTTAGGCAAAAAGGAAAAAACACACTTAAAACCCACAGGCACAAATAAACCAACTTTAATAGATATTATTTTATATTTATATAGCGCCTTCTTCAAGAACCTTAAATGCTTTACAGACATTATCTCTAATTAATCCCCACAACAACCCTGTGAGGTAGGTATTACTCCCATTTTACAAGACAGGGAGACTGAAGCACAGAGAGGTTAAGTGACTTGCCCAAGGTCACACAGTTAAATTCACTGAAGAGCCAGGACATGAGCGCTTTAGCCTCCCAGCTCCCAGTCAAATACCTCATGACAGAATCTTTAATAAAAAGTGTTTTTAAAGAAAGTATCAAGAGTAGTTATGAAAATGAGGTCTTTCTACTGCCATCGAGGAAAGAAAAAACCCTATACTGATGGTTAGAGGCCCCAAGACCCACGTAATACAACATTTCCTTCTGTCCCTGTTCCCAAGCCTCCTGGTTCCTGTCTTAAGTCATCTTTTAAAGGTAAAATTTCCAAGACAGAAGCCATGTGACTTAAGAAGTGGGATTTAATTTAGAATATTTACTTTTAGTTACAATAATTTATAGAAATTTTTATTCCAATATACAAAATATGGGACAGCCATCCCAATAATCATGTACATAGTTACATAGCAATCGGCCACCATTTACAACTTAAACCAGCCCTGCATTTTAATCACAGTCAACCAACATACAACCTCACAATGCTTTCTTCATGGGTCACTTTTCTTACTTACTATACCTGTATTTTTCCCCCAACCCTGACCCTAAATGCTTTAAAAGTATATTGAGTTTCTTCAAAACATTTTACTTAGATCCAGCTGCATTAAGAAGAAAAAGTAAATGTAAAACTGTCACCCCACAGTCCCTCCCCTGACAAATCATACTATGAAGTATGATGTAGATGTGAATAAGTATGTGATTACCAGGAACTCAACACATATACTAGAACTTGCTTTAATATGAAATGTAACTTGGCTTTTACTGCATGTTTTTTCTTTAATGCAAAAATGTAAAAACAAACACAACGTAGTATTTCAATGCTGTACCTTTATGCAAATGACTTCATCTATCTTTTCTTAAACATGTTGTGATACAGCTAATGTTAAAACTGACACAGCTTCACTTACCTCTTTTTCTCTGTACTGAAAGCTGCAGAAATACAGCTTGAATAATCCAAGACAATTTGGTTTAAGCCCTCAAAATAAAAAGAGCGCATCCACTTTCACTGCCCTGACTTTCCCCACATTGTTGATTGTGATTCTCTGTGGCATGTTGGTAGATAAGGCTGGCTATATATAATTTGTACAAAACATCTCTAGCCAGGGTAAGGCTTTAGAAACTATCTTAAAAAGAAACTTGTCAAAATACTTTTGATATTTAGTACAAATACTATTATTATAATTTTCTCCCAGCACACGTGTTTAAGCAGCCCAATTACCTAAGTGACCCTGTTAAAGGTCTGCTTATGGAACAAATAGGTGAAGTCATTTCCTGAGCCAAAAGATACAGATAATAAATGTTAATAATAGCAGCAGACTAAAAAATTCCTTTTTGTTGTTTGTTTTCCATAGTCAACAGTTTTAGCAAAAGAACTTTAGCAAATGACAATTTTTTTTTTAATTTACTGCCTGAAAAGAATTTAATAAAGAACATCCAAGGCCTGATTGCTATTATTCTGAATATAATTTTCAATAATTTTCTGCAAGTTACATTCGGCTACTGTCAGACAACTTTCTGATGCATGGAAAAACGTCCAAAAAAACTGCGACGGTTTGCATACATTTTATGTTACATATATTACTTCTTAAAACCCCCAACAGAATGAAGTCTTAGCAAACACAAATTTTAATTTCTGAACACCCTTCCAGTAAGATTGTAAAGGTGCGGGGAAGGGGAGGAAGGATTTGGTTTTTGTTAAAGTTGCGGGGAAGGGGAGGAAGGATTTGGTTTTTGTATTCCTAGTCTACTTGATTAAAATTTAATCTTCAAAGGGTTTGTTTAGCTCGCTATCCAGGCTACCAGGGTTATGATGAACATTATTACTTCTTTCCAGGGTAAAAAAATGACATCTGAAAATAACATATATGCTATGACAAGATTTCCCAAGCATGACCTCAACTGGAAACATTAGAATACTTAAGAATTCTAAAGATTGGTATACCACCACTGCACCAGAATTTTTAATTATTCCAACAACTACAGGAATTTTTTTATAGTTTTTTAATTTTATGAAATTAAAGCTGAAGAAAATAACTGATTTAGAAACCATAACAAAAGGACAAATACTTAGCCAGAGATATCAGTTCCTCCTGAAAAAGGATATTTACCTCCTCTCACTGCAGTTTTTCTCAAGGTATCTTACTGATTTCAGATAGAATTTAAAATTCACCTTAAAAATAGAAACAAACAAAAGGACTACTTAAACTGACATTAACTGATAAAAATATGTTCAAATTTACTGACAGAATCATGGGCACTTCATACAATACTTAGACTCTACCAGTTTTAAGTAAAATAAATAAGGAAAAAATTATAATTACAAAGCCAGTCTTTCCCCTTGGGGAAACAAAAAGCCACTTTTGACCAATTGCTCCCTACATATACATACACTGTATATTATTATAAGCTTCTTCAGAGAAGCAAAACATCTTTGTCTTCCCGACACTGGATTATCTAGCATGTTAGGTTTTACATCAGGAAGGCAACTGCAAGTGTTGGGCCCAAAAGTATTTCTGGTTGACTCTTGAAAAGACACCGAATATGCTTCTATACACATTGAACCAGGCAAATTTATGCAGTGTGTTCGACATCACCTCCTTATCAATACAGCACAGATCCCGATTCTTTCTACTGCACTCCCAAGGAATTCAAAGCATTATTGGTGCAATTAATAAAGAGAAAATGCGTGTCAATGACTGGAAGGCTGTTTTACAAGAGGAGCTGGTATCTCTGATTTCACCTCCTTGTTGAATGGAACTGTACAGACAGCATGATACCTGAGCAAATAAACCAACTACCATGATCGGAAGGGCTTGTCAATCCATCGTCTTTGCTTTATCGTGTGCAAAGTGTGCTACTGCCCCCTGAGCTTCCTGCATTTCTCTTTTCTTGAAAAATCAGTGCTTGATCCTTTCCAAAATAACCAGAGAAGAAATGAGGCAGAAAGTATCTCTTCATCACGGTTCCCCCTCAGTCCCGAGACTGATAGAAAAGGATGTAACCAGACTCAGAGTTCTTTGAGATATCTGATGTCAACCCGTAGAATTCTTCAATAGCCTGTGCATCTATTTTCTGTGAGGCAAAATGTAAACATTAGTACATAAATGAGCTCTGTACAGTCAGATGGCTTAAATTTAATAGACTGATAATACCAAGTATTTGGGGAAAATGGAACTCTCATACATAGCTGGCAGGGCACTCTGAAAAAATGTTTAGAAATACCTATCTTCTAAAGCTGAACATACAACTACCCTTTGATCCAGCAATTCTACTTCTAGATATAGGATGAATTATATGAAACCACTAATAACTATTTTGGACCTACAAAATGGCAACTTCCAGGCCGGGCACAGTGATTCACGCCTGTAATGCCAGCACTGTGGGAGGCCAAGGCTGGCGGATCACCTGGAGTTAGAAATTCAAGACCAGCCTGACCAACGTGGAGAAAGCCCGTCTCTACCAAAAATACAAAATTAGCCAGGCATGGTGGTGCATGCCTGTAATCCCAGCTACTCAGGAGGCTGAGGCAGGAGATTCACTTGAACCCAGGAGGTGGAGGTGGCGGTGAGCCGAGATCGCACCCTCGCACTCCAGAAGCCTAGATAACAAGACTCTGTCTCCCAAAAAAACAAAAAGGCAACTTCTAGTGGTCCAACCTAACATATACCCAAGAAAAATGAGTGTATACGTCTAGTAAAAGGCTTGTAAAAGATGACCAATGCATTTTAATTCACAATAGTCATTAACTGACAAAAAGTCAAATTTCTAACTTGGTATATTCGTACAGTACAGAATGACAAAGCAGTAAAAAAGAACTGCCATTACTGCAGGCAACAAGAATGCACCTCACAAATATATTCAGTGAATAAAGTCTGACAAACAAAATCATACTGTATGAGTCCATTTATATTCAAGCCTAGGCAAAATTAATGATAAAAGTCCAAATAGCAGGCTCCAGGAGGAAGCTTAAGCTCTGACCAGAAGGAGGAACAAGGGGGCCTGCTGTGGTGTTGAAAATGAATTATATCTTGACCTGGATGGTAGTTACAAATGTGAGTGTGTCTGTGTGGCTGTGTGTGACGGGGGGACACACATATACAAATTCATCAAATTCAGACTTGTACACTTTACTGTATGTATGTTACATGGCTTAAATTTTTTTTTTTAAAGTCAGGTCTGTTGTTGAAAGCTTTCCTTTGTTTTATTCCACGTGTGTAAAGGTTACGTGACCACTTAACTGTTGGGCTTGGACGTTGTAGAGTAAGAAGTAGGAATCAGACTACAATCTATAGACCCAGACATTTGTCTCATAATCATCACCAGTCATATCTAAATGAGAAACTATCAGAAAATAGTGAAAAGCAACATATGCATACAACTTTCAAAAATAAGAGATTAAGAAACTACTTACTTCTACAATGTCGTCATCAAACAACAACCAAAAATCATGACTCTTAACTATTGCAATATAATGGCCTCGATTGGGACCACTAAAACAAACAAAAAAGAAGTTAATTTAATATGATATTTATTAATATTACTCTTTCATGCTCTAAATTTTATGTTTTATAGAGAAACTGAAACAAATAGCAGTAAAAAAGAACTGCTTCTTTTTTATACCCCTTAACTATTCTTTCCAAAAAAGATAAAGCTACACTGAGTTGAACTGGTAATCAATTTTAAAATCAAATAATTAGTACTCTAAGAGATTCTATTCACATAAAGCTGCATTATTGAAATTCTTTACTGTCTTTGCAATAGTTTTCAATTTTGCTTCTATAATAAAAGACAAGGTTTTCTATCATTTTATAAGGGAGGGGATCACAGCAGAACATGCTGAATTCAACTATAAAACAATGCATACAAGAATTATTTCTAAGCCTCACTCCCTTGGTAATAGTTTTTTTTCTTGAGGAAAGATCCAACATGATGCTTGAAACAGGCAAGGATATCAAATCCTTGGTTCCAAAATCAAGCCTGAACTTCACAAAATGTCTTTAAAAGCAAATGACCTTTGCTCAATGGTGAGTCAATACGAAGTACCTAATTCTTAATACCATTATAACTATTACTATGATTGCCCCTGCATCTCATTTTAAACAAATCTGGAATATATAAATGTAGACATGCATAAAAATAAAGGAGGCATAATTTCTTTTAAAAGCAATTCTTTGTTTTATAAAAGGATAGGACAAAGGTTTTAACCTCTTCCAGTTTAAGTATGGTTCATTATAAAGGCTTATATGGTTATATTTATTCTATTGTAATTCTATAATTAATACAGAATTTGAAATCCTTTTCAATACAAATTACTCCTTATGCTAAACACTATTTTAAAAGTAGTGACCAGATTATTAGAATAAGCCACCTCCTAAAATGTCTTATGTTTCTCAGATCATTTGATCTTGTAGGTAAGATAAATACCTTAGGTGACAGACTGACACCAACAAAAACATTTTTTTTTTAAACTATGGAGGATGACACCTCAAAACTTTCTTTTTAAAAAGCATTTAATGCTTTATTAAGTCTATTTCTATATTTATTTAGGACTCATCTAAAGGGTCTTGTGTGTTATGGGGAGAGGGTCAGAAATGAAAACAAAATTATAAAAGGTGAAATCAAGAAAAATCAAAGAAAGGCTGCGGAACACAGGATGGAAGGAAAGGAGGTGGGTGGGGTGAGGACTAGTAAACTGAGAAAAGTTAGGCGGCTTTTTCCTTTGGCAAAGAACTAGTTTGAAGAACAGTAGACAAAAGTTAATTTCATAAACTAAAAATGAAATGAGAGATGAAGGGCTGAACTTCCACCTAAGGAAGCTGTTTCTTAGGCATCTGATTTCTGGACATTAAACACACTCAGTTGAGTAGATATAAATGCCTAATGTATGCAAATAACTACTGACTGCTGTGGAGATTAAAGAGATTTCAACAACTGCTTGCCCAAATACCCCTTCAGTACAGAGATGGCTACTCCAAAAACATAATCCAAGGCAGAATATGATATAAAAGTAGAGCCACAGGAGAGACCGTATCCAGCAAGAGAGGAGGTGGAAGGGAGAGAAGGATGGGAAATCAAGAAACGGAGCCCAGTTCTGACATGGGCTTGAAGGGTAATACTTAGTCAACAAACATTTGCTAGAAGTCTCTTCTAGGCTGGGAACCAGGGATAGAGAAGGAGCAAGCTGAACTGGAACTGACATGCTGATAATGAGGCTGTGCACACCCTCCACACTTTCATATGAAGCAAATCTACAAATAAGTCTGATAAATAAAATACACAATGGAAAAATATTCTAAAATATGATTATCTTTTATTAGCGAGCAAATTATCTCCTGTTTTAAAAAGCACCTGTTCTCATAAGGGAAGCAGACATACATCCTAAGACAGTACACAAAGCACTAAGACAGGGCTAGCACTGCACATCTAGTATTTATGTGAAGACAACACGTGGAGACTGAGGCTGGGCAGAAGAGCGTCAAGGAAGACTTCCAGAGAGGAGAGGCAAGAAGGCATGAGGCAATGAGAGTGAGACAGGAGAGAGTAAGACCCCGGGGTAGGGGCGGGATCCCAAAGACCTACTGTGCAGAACTCCACCAGAAGTGAGTTCCCAGTGAAGGCAGACCACCAGGGCTGTGAGGAAAGTCAATAACCATCTCTCTGCAATTTTCTGCAACAATTCTGACAGTAGGGATTCAGACAGCTGGCAAGAGGATTTTACAGTGCTTGTGAGAACATGCTTTAACTGACTGTGGAGTTCAGGTTGGGAGAAGCAAGTGAGGCCAAAGAAAAGGTTAAAAAAGCAAAGGGTCAAGAGACTCAAGGATTTCAGGGTGGGGAAAGGGTTGGGTTAATTTTAAAAGGAGAAAGTGGGGACGGGACCCTGGTTGCCATCTAAGTCAGGCATCTCAACTCAATGTCTTGTGAGTAGAGCATAATTCTAAAAATCTAACATAATTTAAGTAGAGTAGGACTGTTACTAAATTTGAAGAGGCTAAAGAACAGTCTAATTAGGGTGTGAGAAAGTAAATATTATAGAGCTGGGATGTGAGAAGGTAGCATTATATTTTTGTTACTAAGACAGTAGCAGTAGCTGATTTACACCTCCTTTTGAATCCCAACAAAGCAATGAGGTAATTAGTATTTACATTTTCTAGAAGAGAAAACTGAAGCCTTTTCAGGAAACTCTGCATAACATCACACTGCCCACAACTGGCAGAAATGGTACTGAGATCCAGGCTTCTCTCACTTTGAATACCTGGTCTGAATCACTACACCAAGGTTCTTTAAGTAATCTTGACACTGCTTCACTCCTTTAAGATGTGATCACTCTTAATTTAGAGGTAGAAGAAAGATTCTTGCTGAGGATAAAAGACGGGACCCAAGGCTGACCCAGGCAATGGAGATACAAGACGATTATTACAGAGTATTTGCTCCCTCCGGGTTGTCCTTAAAAATTCTGATCAGAGGCTGGGCATGGTGGCTCACGTCTGTAATCCCAGCACTTTGGGAGGCTGAGGCAGGCGGATCACCAGGTCAGGAGATTCAGACCATCCTGGCTAACACGGTGAAACTCTCTACTAAAAATACAAAAAATTACCCGGGCATGGTGGTGGGCGCCTGTAGTCCCAGCTACTTGGGAGGCTGAAGCAGGGGAATTTGGGAGGCAGAGGTTACAGTGAGCCGAGATGGCACCACTGCACTCCAGCCTGGGCGACAGAGCGAGACTCTGTCTCCAAAAAAAAAAAAAAAAAAAATTCTAATCAGAGAGCTGGGAGGAGGGCTGAAGTGGAGAAAGCTGGAACTTTTTTTATCTGGATAAAACATGCTGTTAGTACAAGTTTCCCAAAACCAAGGGGAAAATGATGAGTGCCTGCTTTAAAATTATTAAAGGAAATTCTAAGCAGTCAATGAAGACGGTTATGTTCCAAATACAAGTTCTGATTATGTGATGCTCTTGCAGTTTGAGAATTTTTTGAAGTATTTAATAAGGTCAGTTACAGGTATGTATGTTCATACAGAGAAGATGTGTATACCACGCTGGAAAAGAAGATGAGAAGGAGACAGAAAGCAAAATTAGCTAATAGGAAATGATAAATACACACCCAGGTAAAATCAAAAAATGAATCTTTGAAGATTACTTCCAATGCCATTTTAAATGCTTTTTACAACCACTGATATGCTGAACATATGCAATTAAACTCAGAAGTGATTTATTTTAACCAACAACCCTCTATACACACACCCCAAAAAAGGAAAAGAAAAACTAACAAATCTCAAAGTTCTAGAAAATCAGATATAGTACTTGCAGAGTAATAAATAATAAAAATAAAAACAATATATTTTAACATATAAAATTTTTAAGGAATGATAAAATGTAAAGCTAAAACTCCATTTTGAAATAAAATTATCTTGAGAAGAATACAAATTTCTAAAAGTTCTGTATTTGAATAATTCATGAACATCTTGAATATACACTGCTCTTCTAACCTAGAAATTCCACTACTATGTCCCCGGAGTTGCAATTACCTTCCACAGTGAACCACAACAGCAACCAGGTCGTACATTCTGTCTGGATTGGTGGCATCACCTGAAGTGTTAAATAGACGAAGTTCTAAAGGGAAAACTACCCGGTAAGAGAGTTTTGTATATCGATGAAGTTGATCCATATATTTAAATCTCTTCAGGTGTAGAGCTAGAATCATGGGCAGTTTTTTAACTTTCATCCTATTAAAAATAAAAATGAAAACAAAATTTCACAAAAGATATCCACCATGTCCTTGAATTATCAAACTATGATATCCAACGAACAGATAGTCAATGGTCAGTTTTAATAGCCCAGCACTGCCCAGTTTCGCACATTTCTACCAATTATTTTTATAATGACAAAACAATGTTCTGAACATCTTAGGACAACCCCACCCTACCGATCATCGCCACACCACATAATTTGACACAGCACTCAACATGGCTCCAAAACAGATGGAATGGCATTAGTCCTTGGTTAAGGAATCTGTATTTTTCAAACACACATCTCTTATAAAAAGGCTAAATGCACAGGGTGCTCAAGAGTGGTAGAGGGAAAACAAGTTTCTTGAAACTGACAATGCCTTTGGACTTGGGTAGACTGAAATCTATTTTTTCTATCAATCTATATGATGCAGGTACAGACTGACAATAGGAGACTAAACAAAAGCGCTAAAGACCATTCAAGGTGCTTGTCAGAGACAAGAAATAACTCCGTATTAAGAAAAATGACTATGTATATCCTAGAAAGGGAATAAAATAACCTGGAAACTTAGGAGTTAAGTTTTTAATTGTGAAACACAGGCTGTTCTTCATGTTCTAAATAATCTTTATTATGCCTTTAAATGCCATTTCTCCCCGAGAGTGCCTTTGTACTCCTACTTCACCTAAAAATCTATTCTTTTAATGGCTCAGCTCAAATGTCACACCCTCTGGCACAAATACCTGCTCTCTTCAATCCTCCATCAGCGCTTTACAGGTTCACTTTATATATGTCAAGCTTATTACATGGTAACAATTTTAGGTGATTACGGTTCTTTTCTTCTAGGCCCTGAACTCATGGCAGCTAGAAAGCATTCCCTTCATTTTTACTTCCCCACTATCTAGCAACATGCCTGACATAGGATAGATGCCAAATGTTGCAGAACTGAATTTTAAATGGGTCTGGTGAAGCAAAATACTCCTCACAATTTAAACAAGTGAGATATATGGTAAGCCACTGTCTCTAATAAGTGAAAAATCATTTTATAACATTATACTAAATCTGCATTCTACATGTCTTAAATATGCTGGATAGCTTATTATTCCTAAATTACTTACTATTCGAGTAACTTGGCCTTTTGGAAACATTAGCCAAAGTAAAGGTAAACAACTAGTCACTCCTAGAAAGCAATCCAGCAATATGAATTGGGAGCATTTACGGCCTTTGTCTCACTAATCCTATTTCTAGAAACATAAATTAAATATATAATCTCAAAAACATCCCTTATGAGAATAATCTACTTATAGAGTTCTTTTACATTGTAAAAAATCCCAACTATTCAACAACAGGAAATGTAGAAATAAATTAGAATTCAAACATAACAGAGTGTTGTACAACTTAAATAAAACAATGCTGATGAAAGTTTCCAGGTGACACGGGAAAATACTTAAGAAGTCAGGATGTAAAATTATACATAAAATTTAATTCAACTATGAATTACCCATGTAGAGTTCCTGAAACGAAATCTTTACAAAACATCAAGGTATCCTTTGAGAATTTCCAATGGATGGTAGATGCAAAAGACGAATTTTCTCAGCATAAAATGAGTGTCAGTGTACTATTAATAAATGGCAGTCAGGTAAGACTAGGAAGAGGAAAGAGAATGAACTTGGCCTGATGGTTAGGGAAAATGTGTTTTTAGCAATTACACAAGGCGGGGGGAGTCCAAATGCAGAAAAGAGAAAATGTCTCAGTAATAGCAGATACAATGTTTGATAAGACAACACATGAAGAATATGAATCCTATTTGCCAAAGATCCTCCCAGGGGAGAAGTGCTGGCTACCACAAAGAAACCAGCTATCCATGGAATTGTCAAGCAAAAGTATGTGTGGAGCCATATTTTAAAGATGATGAGAGACTAGCTTACAAAATTTCCCTCATATTGAAATGGTTCCAGAAGAAAAGGCAGACAACTGCTTGAACATACGTGTAAGGAGTGTGAAACTCATGTAGATTTTGCAGCAGAAGGAAGAAAAAAGAAGTTGACTTCCTGTTCCAAACACTAAGACCAGCAAAACACCAAAGAATGTATAAGATTCTGGCTTTCCCCCCATTCCAACTTGTGGCGAGGGAGGCTACATTAGGGAGGTCTTGATCACTGTCATTGTTTTATAAAAAAAGGTTGTCTTAGAACATAGTGTTTTCTACAAAAGACAAACATTTTGAAGAAAAAAGAGGAAGACAGAGATCATTATTTTCCTTTTTAAGTTTGAATAAACACTGATTTTTAAAAATCTTCTGTAAGCAGATATCAATTTTCTACTTAAATTTATTTTTTTAATGACATTTACCGACCACACAAACAACTACTTAAAATTTGGATGAATTTCTATTATTCAGTTGGCCCTCCATATTGGGAGTTCCACATTCATAGATTCAACCAGCCATGAATTGAAAATACCCAAAAAATAAATAACTAAAAATAAAAAAGACAAATGCCATTTTAAAAAACACAGTACAACAATTATTTATATACCATTTACATTGTATTAGGCATTGAAATACATAGGAGTATATGCATAGGTTATATGCGAATACTTGTCATTTTATATCAGGGACTTGAGCAACCATGCATTTTGCTGTAGGTGAGGGCCCTGGAACCAACTGATACTGAGGTACAACTCTATGCATTTTCTTGCTTTCACATCTTTAAAATGACAAATTGCATTCTTGTTGTATTGTAACATAACAGGGGGTTGCTTATCTTGATAATGTCTAGTTATAATTTAAAACTATTCCAAAAAAGCACAAGGATGGGAAAAGACATACCATGTAAACACCAATCCTAAGTAAGCTGGCTATACTAATGTCAGACAAAGCATATAAGATAAGGAATCTTACCAGAAATAAAGAATACTTCATAATAATGGTCAATTAACTAAGAGAACATAACAATCTTAAAAGCATGTGCTCCAAAATTTTTTCAAATTTCAGAAATAAACAGACAAGTGCATAATCAGAATTGGAATCTTTAACAGACTTCTCTCACTAACAAAAAAAATCAGTAAGGACAGGAAAATATGAACATCCTAACTATGGACTTAATTGACATTTATGGAATACTTAACCCCAAACTGCCCTATATACATTCTTTTCAAGTTCAACCAAAACACTCACTAATGTACTGGACAATAAAAGAAGTCTCAATAAATTTCAAAGATGAAATCAGAGTATGTCCTCTGATAAAAAAATCTAGAAAACCCCCTAGCTACAGAAACTAAGCAATACATTTCTAAATAAGCCATAGGACAAACAGAACATCACAAAGGAAATCAGAATACATTTTTAAATGGATGATTATTATGAGACAACAACATCCTCTCATTTTAGGTCCTGTTCCCTAGGGCAGACCCTGAGACAGGAATTCCCAGGCCTGTGATTTATTAATGTCATGCTCCCTGTGTATGGTGGGGGGGCGGGGGGAAGGAAAGCAGGTAAGGATTCAATCTCAAGCAAAATCCCAGGAAGAGTGGCTTCAGCTCAGTGTCAAGAGAAACCCTGGAGTCTAAATTTCACCTCCGATTTCTCTTGACCACAAGGTAGCTGGGGTTTCATATGCTCTTTAGCACCTGTCACTGACTGGTCAAAAACTGGGAATTTGTACCAAATTCCCAGAAACTCCCTTCTCCAGTAGCCCAAGGGGGAGTTCTTCCCAGAGCCATCAGGTGCTAAGTAGTCCAAAAGGCTAGGGGAGGAGCTGGAGGAAGGACTGACATTGCCCGCAACCACCCTCAACCGGAATACCAACTATCCTGCCGCAGGCAAGCAACACCAGTAGAGGATGGAATGCAGACCCCGGAATCCAGTGGAATCAGCTGTTTTTCTCAAGTCAGAAATCCTTTTTAAAGTAAATTTCCTATTTTTATAAACTGTGTGAGCCAAACAGAGTTCTACAGATGGAATGTGATCCAGAGGACACTATGTGCAAGCTCTGCCACAGATGAATATAATACCCCAGCCACAGGCACTTAAGAGCTTACCAACATCCTGTCAGCACAGAAGTCCTGACCACACAGAAAAGCTTAATAATTGTACAGACATTCAGTTCCAAGGACTGAATTCCATGCCCTTTTAAAAGGTGCCATCAACAAGGATTAATTGTGACACATTACAATGAGGCGGTCAGGGCGAATAGAATGCTTTATGTGAGAAAGTCACTAAGGTGACTCCGTGAGATATAAGCAATGAGAGGACATTTAGGTAGCAGAACCTAAACTCCAGCATGTGTCAAAATGGGGGATGGGTTACAGGCACAAATGAGGCTCATGGCGTACCCCAACATGTGTATAAAACGTAGTACTGAGGGACGGACATGTGGAGATCCAGGTAGGCATGTAGGCAGGGAGCCAGGAGGCACCAACTTCTCAACAGATGGAAGGACCCACCCAACTCAGATTCCAGAAGACTTGCATGGGGCTGTGTGTGCAAGAGGTGGTCGGAGATGTTGACTATAGCAAGGCAAATCCCTATTGCCGATACGATTTCACATGATACTACACAAGTTACCATGACTGGGACTGACTACAGGGGAAAAATATATGAATCTAGTTAAGAAAATGAAGCAAAAGGAAGGGCCTTCATCTCACAAACAGGAAGCAATTCAATCATTAAATCTAGGGCAGATACTCAGAGATGGACTGTGGCCATGACAATGTGATGCTGAGTCACCTGGCCATGCATGGGTCTTCTTCAATACCTGGTAAGAACAGGACTGGTCCCAAAAGTGGGGTCAGGCACATACGGAATAAACGGAGAGTAAAGAGACTTGAGAGAGGAAAGATGAGAAGGCAAAGAGCTTAGCTTCCAGTCCATTGTCACTAATCATTGGATCCCACAGAGTAGTGACAGAAATACAGGCATACCTTGGAGATACAGAAAGTTCAGTTCCAGGCCACTCCAATAAAGTGAAGACTGCAATAAAGTGAAGACCGCAATAAA